GCAGAAAATATGATAAACTATGTATTAGAAAAGATTGAATTAAAAATGATGCATGTATTATACATAATATATTAAAATACATTAATTTTCAAATAATATAGCAAACAGTATAATAAATGATAAAATTATATAGTAAATAATATATTAAAACATATAAAATGAAGAAAAACTATATGTATATTGGATAATGTACATAGTAAAAGATATTAAATTCAGGGTAATGTATTAGCTAATGTATTGCAATAAATTGCATTAAAGATAATATTCTAATATATAATTCTAATATATATATATAATATTCTAATATATAATTCTAATATAATAATATATTCTACTAAGATTCGTATTTAGAGAAATATGAGTTTTGCTTAAATCTATCCAACTTAATTTATCAATTTTTCCGTCAACGAACCCAAATCATTCCCTCAGAGTCGCGAAGAACGTGAAACATTGTCCAGGATTTTGGCGATTTTCGCGGCCGCCGCAAAAAGAAAAAGAAACCGGCAGGCTTGCGAAATAATCGGGGATCTCGGAATGTTAAGCAGCCCGTTCGTCGCTCATTTAAATTTACTAACTGTAGAAAAATTCCCCATTGTTCCTGCGGTTATTGTTCAACGTTCATTGCCACAGCGAAAGTGATGCAAGTCACTTTTAGATCGTAGGACCAAGGACTGCAGTTTCCATGCGAGTCGCGTCGCTCGCGAAGATGCAATTGTACATCGCCGCGATTCCACGCGGAAAATAAAATGCCTGGAAGAAGGGACCGTCCCGGCAGGGGGGCAGGGTAATAACGATTAATTACGAATTCATATAAGCGGTCCCCTCTAACGTTCTCGTTATCACAATGTAACGTCCTTTTGTGGTCGTAATGGGCCCGGGGTTCGCGTACGATGACGATAAAAACGTCGCTCGCAGATATATTGTACGCTTCGGGGGTCCTTCAAGACGCGACCATGAGCAAAACTGCTTATCCTGCTGCGTTGACGCGATTGTCGGCCGTATATCCTGCGAGCTTTCCTTCGGACTTTATGATTATATTGCATAAAGGGGATCATGTAACGTCCCTCATTATGAGATTATGCTAGGACACGCGAGACACCCTGTATACTCCCAGCATCATTCTACTTGTTCCAAACAAAAGATTCGACAAAATAATTATTCCGACCCATTTAATCTGAATTTTCGTTTAATATAATTTACCATATTTTTTAATATATCATTATTCACTTGTTATATTGTAATATATTATTTGTTGTGTCATTCTTAGTTTGATATATTCAAATGTGGAATGTAAACTTATCATTCTTCAATTAATGTATTTTACTCTATTATTCAATATATCATTTTAAATCTAATTGTATATTTGAACATGTTACATATTCTTCATTTAATATTATTCTCTACTATATTATTTAAAATGCATTCTTAATTAGATATATTCTAATTTGCAATTTAANATATATCATTATTCACTTGTTATATTGTAATATATTATTTGTTGTGTCATTCTTAGTTTGATATATTCAAATGTGGAATGTAAACTTATCATTCTTCAATTAATGTATTTTACTCTATTATTCAATATATCATTTTAAATCTAATTGTATATTTGAACATGTTACATATTCTTCATTTAATATTATTCTCTACTATATTATTTAAAATGCATTCTTAATTAGATATATTCTAATTTGCAATTTAA